CATCGAGCCCCACTTCTCTTCCCTGCCTATGCAGGCGGTCGGACTCGATGATCTATTGAGGTCCCTTCCGACCCTAACATCTATGAATCTATAAGACACAGGGTAGCAGATTAGGAAATGCCAGTACTTTGCATTTAAGGCAGAGTAGATTTGCACCTTGTAGACTAACTAAATTGATTTTGCATTTAAGTCACCAATTTATACACCAATGCTGCTAAATTTCCGCTAGGGGGCACTTTAGCACTGACAAGCCATCATCATGACAAATGCAACCTTAATCCCCCTTTGTGCCAGGGCCACTGGTGGGCTGGAGTTAAGGAGTTAGTTGAAGCCTTTTCCAGCAATGGCTCACTCAAACTTAACTGAAAACTCACGCATCTTAACAGAGCACTGCCCTGTGTTAATCAAAAATATCCCTGAACTTTAATACACACACAGCCACTGATTTTATTTTTAAGAGAGGGGAAACCACCTTCTCCCTGAAATCCTGTTTGGCAAATACCTGGAAAATTCACACACTTGGGCTGAGGATTTTCCACCTTTTATCATTTACAAGATGCATTGTGACACTAATTACCATGGTCCACAGCTTCAGGACTTTTGTGTGGATGTCCCCTGTCCCCACCCCTAGGAATGTCGCACATAAATCACTGCATTTATTCCACATGGGTAAGTGTCAGGGATGCTGATCCCCCCTCACCTCCCCGCAACCACCCCTCAGCAGTGCAAATGCAGCTGCGAGCTCTTTCAGAAGTTCCCTGAATTCTACCGGGGGGTTTCTTGGAGGAACTTCACTGAACATAAAACGCTTTTTATGACAGACACTTAAGCTGTTCACACATAAAAACACCCCCACTGAGTCTGGTACAGGCTGCTGCAGCTGGACTGCATTTTTTCACTCAAGCCCATGTCAAGTGCAGTGGGCTGGTGGTGCATGGCCAAGGACTGCCCCACATCCTGCCCAGCTTAAAATTCATGCTGAAATTCTTCTCTCTTCTTCCATACCTATAGGAAGAGAATTAATAGCCTCCACAGCTTTACTTTAGAAACAATGCAAAACCACCAAGACATGCAAGAAAGATAATGCAATTATCCCTGTGGTGATGTTGACAATAGGCCTCACCTTCCTGTGCTCGTGCTCACCTACACCAGGAGGTTTCACAGATTTCATAGACATTAGGGCTGGAAGGGACCTCGGAAGATCATCGAGTCCAGCCCCCTGCCCCAGGGGTTGGAAGTCAGCAGGGGTCTTAGGATCCCAGCAAGATAAAAAGTCCCTGAAAGGTTCAAACTCACTTCCTGCCCTGGGCTAGATTTGGACTGCAGGGATGCTTGCAGGCCAGATCCAGTTCAGAGCATGGGGTGGCTCCAGTGGCAACAGCAGCAGCAGTTCCAGGTTCAGCTCCCACCGTGTATTGCATGCTCCATGATGGAGCTGGAATTGCTGCTGCCAACACATTTCAAGCCAGGGATGCAGCTCCAGCACAAAACGTACAGCAGCAGCAGTGGCTCCAGCGTGGAGCACAGATCACGCAGCTCCAGCTTCAGCTCTGGTACGGGACATGTGGTGGCAGCACAGAGCATGCAGGGCCAGCTCCAGCTCTGGCATGGGCACACGGTGGCACTGCCACAGAGCACAAAGCACACAGGCTGAGACCAGGGGCTGAGGAGCTGGAGCTGCAGTGGTAGTGACTGGCAAAGTAACCAGAAGGCAACCAGAACTGCGTCAGCCTTTGCTTGCCCTCCTGCCACCAACTGCAATGTTCACCAGGGCCCAAGGGCCTCAGATTCTGCCACTGGCCACTGACCCCTGGTCATCCCGTCCCTGCCCCACTGCCAACTTCTGGTGGCCAGCTGGTAGCCTGGTGGGCAGGATACAGCAGCTCCACAAGCCCATAGGCTCTATGTTTGACACCCCTTACCTATGCCATGCTTAAAACTGGCAGCTCTTTGGCACAGACTCACTTGTAAGTTTAGCAAAGTTCCTGACAGACTTTGAATGCTTTAAAAGCAACCATAGATAAGAAGAGCAACCATTTTTGTTTTCGCCAGGCCTTTCCTTCCTCCCATAATGACTTCAGTGGACTGGGTGCTACCTGTCCAGCTACCCCTTTCCCATCACTTCAGCAAGGCAATCCCAGCATTTGGCAGCCTTTCGGGATAAATGTCACCACAAAAAACAAGACCTGCTCTATTTAACAAAACAGCCTCGAGGAAATCACAGACCTTTGAACTAAGCCATGAGCACCTAAAACAGAACCAAAGACCCTTTAATGGCACCAGAAAGATTAGCTGAAGAACTACGTGCAAGAGGCAGTACCTGTGTGCAATGGCGGGTTTGTGTCCTTCCCCTTTACACCAAGGGACATCTTCATGTAGGTATGACAGTCCACAGGCCATTGTTTCTGCAACGTGGCAGAGTTCATTCCAGCTGATAATATTCCCCTTCAGGTAATCTGTCAAAGAGCCCTGAGAAATAGGACATCATACAGTCTTAGAACTTAATTACAGATCCTGATAAGTGACAGATGTGCCAACTCATCAGTTTAGAGAGAGGTTTTAATGAGAGCTTGAGAAATCTGAACCTTGATTTGACAGAGAAGCTCACTTGCAAATATATATATATATATATATATATATATATATATATAAGCTCTATATAAAAAAAAAAAAGAAAGTGAGGCGGTCCCAATTCCCCATCAGTTTGGAGATCGAGGGTCTGAAATAAATATACTTCATGGCTTCAAAAATGAGTTCCACTACCTTGAGCAAGCCCCAGGAAAAACTGAAGCAGCTACATACTCTGAAGAAGGGAGAAGCCTGAAGTGAGAAAAGCTCATCTATCATATCAGATGGCTGTGGAAATGATTGACTCAGTAGACCTTGGATTAAAAACAGGGACAACATTGCTGGCTCAACCCTGGATTTGCGCGTGTTTGTTTTATTTCAAATGTTCGTCATATTTGATAACTAAAGCAATCCATGAAACAGAGATAGGCTCTGTATTTACTTGACGCTCATGGCCTATCTGCAAGAGCAGAGTGAGAACCGGGACAGCCTGTGATTGGCGTCTCCAGGACGTACTCTCTCGTGCTGGCCTGCACAAGTGTGCAAGGCTAGTGCTGTATACGGGAGTGAGTAGTGCCCTTCTCTCCCTCTTGTCCTCTCCCATGGGACCACCTCTGTTTCTGAACCTTGCAGCTCTTCTTTAAACCAAGTTGGGGGGAAGGGAGGAGAGACTTTGGAACAGCTACAAGGAGGGATCCGAAATTCCAAATGAAAACTTCCACGCCAGTTCATAAGAGCTCCCTATTAGGCCTCACTCCCTTTAGCTTTAAATAGATAGGCCAAGAAGTGTTACCTTGTCATGGAAAGCTGTGATCAGCCAGAGCTCTGTCTCCAGATTTGTCCCACGCTTCTCGGCTGCAATGAACTGCAACAGGTTTTCATGTTTCATGCCGGGGGTACTGAAGATCTCCCTCTCGCTCTGCCAAGATTGCTTATCCTACAGCGGAGAGGAACATGCCATCAGCAACTGCTCATAAATTATATTCGCCTTTTCAAAGAAGCAGCTGCTACAATGGAGTGCTCTTCTGACATTCCTCTGAAAGTCAGTCTCAGGTGTGTGTATATGGGACCAGGGATGCTTTTAAAATGAGGCATCTTCCAAAGCCAGGGAAGGATAAGAAATGCTTGTTCTCAGCCCCTTTCCCAAACTGCCCCCAGATACTGTTAAAGCTCATAATGAAATGAAGGAAGGCAAAGACACAGAAATCAGTATAAGAATTCAGCCTGTACAGATACCATCCATCATTATACTGCAGTTCAGTTTTTAAAATTACACAATCTAATCTAGATTACACAAGGTAGCTACTAGTTATCTATAGCAGGCCAGGACAGAGGACACAGCTCTCCCTTGCATAAGGCCAGGCTGACAAACCAAAGGAAGAGGAGGATGAATGAGGACGGTGCTGAGGGAGGAACCCTAAGAGTTTTCTCTTCAACGGGATCTTTCTGTTACATTGATTGCTCCCATTTTAACACTGTTAAGACTGTTCCAAGGTTTGTTTTCACCTCCCAGACCAATCTCAAGAGTGTGATTAGCCTTCACTCTATTAGGATGGTGTCTTTGTGAGCTGCCAATCACTTTGTAGGTCTGGGTTTACATTGACGATATACCCAGGTAACACTCTGCCTCCTCCCCTGGGGTCTGGCGCTCATCTCGCTGCATTTTCTCAGTCCTCGGACGCTTGGAACAAAGTTAGAATGCCCCGGAGATTTCAAAATGCTATCGTTTGCCCAGCCGGCAACAAACACTGCAAGAGGCACCCGCTGCTGAGATAAACAAGGTGAACAGAGGCCCATGGACGTTGTTCTCTGGCAAAGAGGCCAAGCAAGCATTTATCGCCATTTAAAAACATCTCTGGGACCGCTAATGAAAGTCTCTATGTTTGTGAGCCAGCCATTCTGTGAAGCGACAATCGAATGCAATGCCCTCTCTCACCTGTATGGGGAAGATTTTCACTGCTACATAGTCATTCATGAGCTGTGCCTTCCAGACACAGCCGAAGCGTCCCCTAGCTTTGATCTCCAATAATTGCAAAGGCTTAAGGCCAACCAGCGGAGAAGGGGGTGGCGGACCAGGATCCTGGAAAAACAAAACAGGGATGAAACTATGTATTATAAACTGAGACCAACAGCAAAACAAGGGAAAGAAATCCCTGATACTTCCACCTGAGGAGAGCCATTTCAATACACTGCTCAAAGCATGCAGCGAGTCAAAGGCAGAGCAATGTGAGATTCACCAACTGCTTTGCAGAATTTCTGCATGAAACAGTTTGCTCTGCAGTGGCATTTTCCACTCTCAAGCGTGGCTTCATAGGAAATGTGAAACTGCTGTGTTTAACATTTAACATCAAATTTGGGCAAACACCTGAATCACTCTCATGAAAAAGTCGTTTTCAGCTGCAAAACATTTGTGTCCTTAAGTATATCTCTAGTCTCGGATGGGAGTCTTTTTTCTTTTGTTTTGGTTAAAAGGGGAAAAAAGCGCACCAAAAATGATACCTAAAATTTCAGAGCTGTATTTGGTAGCTGTGTTGGTTTGAGACAAAAAGAAATGCAAAACTCCAGAACTCTTGGTTCAGAGATGATACCTTTTATTAGACAAACTAAGAAATCGCAAAAAAAAAAATTTTTCTACCTACAACTTCAAACAGCTTTGCACTTCATTCTGAACATTTCACGCAGTTCTGGCAAACGGTAGAAATCAGGTATGATGCATTAGTGCAAAACGAGTACCTGTTTATCCTTAAGCATTTGTGTGAGACACAAAACACAGCACAGCATATCTAGATATAAGAACCAGTTATTTCACCCGCATAAAAATGTTAGATTCTGACAGCATGGCCTACAATGGACATTTTCCTCTACCACAGCATGAGTGTGACAAACAAGTCATGCTGTCTAAGGATAATCAAGCTAAAGCAGAGAATTTAAATACTTAAACCAGTGGCGCCCAACCTTTTTGTCCAGAGGGATAGATGGGCAGCGCCCAGTCCATCCACAAGCCAGATCTGGCCAGTAGCCCTGATCTGACACCCAGGCCAGGCATGCTGGGGTCCCATCTGGCTGTGCAGATGAGACCAAGGGGCAGTGCTGCCCTGATTCAGCCGCACAGGGGAAAGGGAGCACGGCCCAGACCCAGCCCAGCCTGGAAAGCCACTGCCCCCCTGCTGCCAAACTTCCTTACCCGTAGGGAGCCCTACAGACCAGATGCAATGACTCCATGGGCCACATTTGGCCTGCGGGCTGGAGGTTGAGCACCCCTGACTTAGACCAAATAGTTTCTGTACATTTCTAATAACTTTGTTAACTCAGAGATGTCAAGTTTTCCATGAAAGCTCAATTCTTCCCCCTTTCTGTAGAAGCAGGAAGCTTCTCACCCACCTCATTAATGTCGACATGCCCGTATGGGGGCTTGCGGTGACGGTACATCCAGAAAGCCAAGAGGATGGCCATGGATAGGACAGCAATTGGAAGCAGAGAGTAAACCAGGATGTTGAGCAGGGAGGGAGTTGGCGGCGGTGGCTCATATATAACTGTAAGAGACAAGGAGAAGCAGTCAGAGAAATGGGATTTTTATATTTTCAGTGGTGTAAGTGACAGCAGTTCCAGAGGAATTTGCTCTTCCCCGCCATTCCTTACTGAACAACCTTTCTGCTGTGGATGTCATGTTCTTACGACATCCAGCTCTTATTAATTCCCAGCTGGTAATGCTCCAAAGCACCAACTAAGAATAGCGAACTTCTTCTCCTAAATACAGAGGATACAAACAACCTAGGCCTGAATGTGACTTTATCAAAAGATTGCAAGGAGTGTGGTAGGGAATTGACTTACAAGTGTTCGAGCTCACTTGCCGTAAACCTCAAAAGGAGATAACATGGCAAGACTCTCCCACACTTTTCTGACAAGAGAAAGGCATCCAGCAACAGTAATGAGATATTAGCCTAAACTAAAGGACTGTACAAGCCATAAATCAAATGCACCGTTCCCATGTTCCAAATGGGATCAGCTAAATTGATGCACAAACAATGGGAAACACTGAAGAGAGCCATGTTGCTAGGCTGGAAACAGGGAAAGGGGTGGGAGGGGGGAGTAAGAGAAACAAAAAACAACAATGCTTGCCAAATTAAACAAGAAAAGTTAGTAGGGAAA